AGCAGAAAGTGAGGCACGGCACAAATGTTGATTTTACCTTTGTACACTAGGCCTGTTTCTATACACACTCAGAATAACATCCAGATAAGCAGGAAGCATGATCAGAGTTCAAGTGACATGCTCTTGCCAGGCAAGAACACTCAAGTAGGGTGCAAAGCAGGCCCAGAGAGAGGTGTGCTCTGGGGAAAGTCCCAAAGGCCAGACAGAGGGGACTGGAGGGGCCCACAGCCCTCATGTAGGTAATAAGATTTCTGGGCTCCAGCACGAGAGTCTAGGATTGGAAACTCTGATTCTTTACACCCACAAGAGACATAAGCATTCCCAGAGGACCAGTATCCAATTTCTAATGCATTGTGATCCTGCTTCAAAAACAAATCCAGGTAATTTCAGAAAGGCAAGATCTTGGAAGGCGAGGAACATATATGCCAATTGTTAAGTATAATTGCTTAATGTACATTGAAATGGGAAATAACTCCAAAGTGTCTATACGTATACTGTGAAGCACGGCATGGGAATTTCCATTGAAGCTAAAGAAGAGCTGAAGAGAGAGCCTAACATTAATCATTAAGGGGGGCTGTATCTCTGTGCCTCACTCACAAGGGGATGAGCTCAGAATCACACAAAAAGGATTGTATTACAAGTCTATGCATATGCTAATCTGTGGGTTTCCATCTTGGGTGGAATGGATCTTCGTTCTCAAGCTACTGAAGGGAATGGAAATACTAATCTCTCTTCAGGAAGCTGGAATGGATAAGAAACAGAGCTTTGGTTTTTAGCTCCGGATGCAATATGTTTTGTAAAGTGCCTTATACCTGGACAAGTATACAAATTATGCATCTATCTGAATGTAACTTTGTTTGTTTCAAGTTGTTTTGAAGTTAAGTTCTGCAGTAAAACTTGTGAAGCATATGACTGAACTGGGGAAAAATTATTTCAAAGAAGAGTCCATTTTTATTCATCCGATTTGCTTCCATATGCACAATATTAATATCTTCAATATTCACATATTTATTTGCTAGAGGCTCTCAGGACCATCTGACCTGTTCTGCCTAGATGGGGGTTAAAGTGCATGAATGCCACATGCAAATCATCATGCATGTGACAATTCGAGTGATGGTTTTATGAATCCAAAAAAAGATCACTGGTGTTTTCTACACACGCATTATAAAATGAACAAAATGTTTCCACCATATTTTTTTGCAGAAGCATGTGTTTTGTTGTGTCTACCTGTATGATCTCTTTGTTTTATTCGAGGCTTACACTTCCTGCATGGATGTGCTCTCCGAGTAGGGAAAAACACTGTGTTCGAAACTGTTCATGGATACATTCTCATTTTCCAAATGATTAGGCCTTTCAGCAGTCTGTTAGCCAAGCATACCCATTTCTTTACTTGGAAGTTTGCAGAGAGAGAGAGAAAAAAAATCCTGCTCCCCACAAAAAAGAAAAGAAAAAGAAAAGATTCATGTTATTCCAGTTTCGTGACATGCAGTAAACCTTTGCCTCAGCAGGCTTTTGTCCAGTCAGAAGGGCAGCTGTGTGCTGATTGTAAAATATGAGGTTGAGCATTGAAACTGACAGATTCCAGATGGGTCAGATCAGCGGTTCCAGAAACAAGGGAGAGAAAACACCCTGGCAGGATTGTACAAAAACTTTTAGCAACCTTATGGGCAGTTTGAAATAGGATCATTCAGGCCAAAGCTTGTGCATGTAATCTTGGATTTCTTAAACAAAACTCCAGAAGATTGTTCACTTCTCCACATTTCAACGACTTTGCAAATTCTTTTTTCTTTTAAGTCCTCGTGAAAATTTATCAGCATTTTAGTGCAAATTTCTTCTAATGTATATGCTTGAATGCTGTTCTGCAACTTCAGTAATAAAGTGAACAGTGCTGTTCTGCCTATTATTTATATATTTGCAAAGCAATTTTACCTAATATCCCTATTTTTCCACAGCGGTTTTCACTAGTGTATTTTTGTATGTCACTAACATTTGCATTTTAATGCACACTTTACCCAGGCAATGTGCATTTTTGTATATATTGAATGGCTGGAGAACTGCATTCCAAAATTCAAAAATGTATGAATTTCAAGGGATGCTTGTATTTTGGTTTGGACTTTGTATTGGAAAGTGTGAATTATGTAGATTTGCCTTTAGACTGAACTGAATCTAATCCCCACCCCTACATAGTGGGATGTGGCATTTCTTCCACCTAATACTCTCCCTTCATTAGTGGCACACCTTGGTAATATGGCGCCCTGCAAGAGGCCAAAATATGATGACCCCTGCCCGCCAGCCCATGTGGCACCTTCCGAAAGCTGGGTAAGGAAGACACCAGGCTTTGGGAAGCAGGCACCAGGCTCTGGCATAGTCCTAAAGCCCCTTGTCTCCTTCCCAAAACTAGGCAAGCACTAACTAGGTTTTGGGAAGAAGGCTGGAGGACTCTGTCAGAGCCCTCACTAGGCTTTGGGAAGGAGGCAGAAAGGAATCCCCTTGGCCTCTGCACTGTGTGGGGGAACCACTTGTGTTGCCCTAAATCTGTCTCTGTCTCGGAGGGCATTCTGTCCAGAGTTCCATTCCAATGTTTGCAGTACAGATAAAGCCTTTAGAAACAAGCTTGCCATTTTTGCATTACACTGAATTAGCCTCGAGAATACAAATGATCTGAAATGTTTAAGAGGGATCAACTTAGAGACTTTCATTTTGGGAAGCATGAAAAGCCATCTATTTCAACACCATTGGTGTTGCAACTTCAGTAATAGCTTTCCCTTGGACAAGCATCAATTTGCAGATATTTATTATAACTGAACTCTTAATTACTTGAGGGGCAGAAAGGCGCAAGATGCTCATATTAGGAAGGATTCTGCTATAAATAGCCAGAGACTCAGACAGAGAGAATTTGCTAGAATGAAAAGGAGACAGCCGAGCCATGTTGGAGGATTTATCTGTATGTTTGTTTCACTTATTTCCCTGTATATCTTCTTGTTTAGAAAGGTCTGCAAATGTGGCTGCATGGGGCCTCCCACTAGGATGGATGAGAAAATAGAAATGTATACATTTAAAGGCGAACTTACCTAATTCACACATTACAAAACAATATGTGGACCGAAACACAGCCGTCTCTGAATCTTGTAACGTAGATCTCCAGCCAACAAGTATACCGAAAAGCATGCATATATTAGGGAAGATTGCTTTGCAAAAATGTGTTCATTGGGGGAAATGCATACAAATATGTGCTTATTAGGAAAAATGGACACTAATATGCTGAAGAAAAATATGAACTAATCTGGAAATGTGGCGAACTGAATTTAAGAATGGAAAAACACAAAACTGAAGGAAACCAAAATTGTCAGAATTGCCTTTCCCTGTCTCCAATTCAGGTTTACCTGGTCAAATCTGCTTAGGTTCACAGTAGAACTGTGTTGGGATGCTTGCAAAATTCTCCACATCCAAAACTCCCTGTGGATTTTGGAGTTCCAAACTGACTAGTCTCCTTTCCAAAATAGAACCAATGCTTTAGGAATCCTCCAGTAATCTGGCTTGTTTTTGTTTTTAATTTCTGGCTCCTATATAGAACAATTTCCCACACTCTATGTGTTCCTCATGTGTGCATCACGGTAAAACCCTGCAAAAAAGCAACCTGTGCCATCATATATATGTATAGTTCTGTCAAAATTAGTTTGGTAGGAGTACATACTGCACATGAAGTAAAACACCACACCAAAACGAATTGTGAAGCAATTATATATAGGATTGCATTAGGATTGCTTTCTTGTAGGGTTTTACTAACATATACATGCAAAAGAACTGAAAGCCACAACAAACTGACCACACTCTGATTGTGGAATTAACTTCAGGAATACTAGTGAAACTGGAATTCAGGAGTGGGACAGAGGCTTAAGAGGAAGCAAACTCATGGTGCAATACAAGAGGGAGTTGAAGAAATTTACTCAATGGAAAGCTGCCTTATGCTGAGTCAGACCTTTGGTTCATCTAGCTCTGTATTCACCATGACAAGTATGGGAAACCTTTGGCTCTCCAGATGTTACTGAACTGCAATTCTCATCAACCCTGGCAATTGGCTGTGCTTGATGGGACTGATGAGAGTTGTAGTTCAGCAACATCAAGAGGGCCAAAGGTTCCCCACACCTGATCTGTGGTGGCTTGCAGAGGTCATCCAAGGTTTCAGGTGGAGGACATTACTATCCCTCTGTGAAAATGCCAGGGTCTGAAACTTTGCATAAAGGCCGATGCTGTATCACTGAACTAAGACACTTCTAATTCCTACAGAAGAGCCATAGTTCACTGGTAGAGCATATTATTTACACCTAGAGGTTCCAAGGTTCAAACTGTAGCATCTCCAGGCAGGACTTGGAAACCTGTCAGAGTAGAGAGTGCTGAGTTAGATAGACCAGTGGGTCTGATTCAGTACCAATGCAGCTTTCCATGTTCCTAACTATGTCAGGTTGGCTTCAATTCTTTCTGGAGACACTTGTTTTCCACCTTCTAATTCCCAACCCCCAGCCCCTAATGCTAGCATTAATAGAGATCAGCTAATCAGCTTTGAGGATTGCTAAAGCAGATGCTTTCCCATGAACCAGTTACATTTTCTTAGGCTGATCTCCCTCTCCACCAAGCTTTTCTTAAAGCTAGCATTTTGAGCAGACTTTTCCCTGATTTCGCAATCTTCTTTACAGACCAAATCAACGCACGTTGTATTAAATAGCTCAGAAGACTTTGAATGACCCTGTTCTTCTTTGATTTGGGGGAGCCGTTGTTTGTGTGGCTCTTACTGAGCGGGTCTAAGAACTACCTACTTATTCATTGATCCGTCTTCGGATCAACGTCTGTGTGTAAGAGAGACGTGCTAGGTGAATAAGCCCCATGCTCAGGCAGGCAAGTAAATCAGGCAGTCACTGAGCAAATAAACCATATTTATTATTCATTCAGATTGTATTTGTCTGAAGTTATAGACTCTTCCTTTCCCCTCAATCTCTCTGCAGGTATGTGAGTTCTGCCACTGAGCGACAAGGAGGCACATCCATGAGGAAGGTAATTCCTTGCTAAATGACTGTCCTATCCTAAGAGAAATCATTCATTGCTATGTGTTGATAATATAGAGTTGTCTCTAAATTTGTGTCTGTGCTGGTGGGCACATCTGACAATCCAGTGTTATGTGTGTTGTTTTTCAAGTAAAGGCTAATGTAGATTTTTTCCCCCCAGCTTATCACCCTGCAATGTACTTCTGAAATGATGGATTTGTAAGCCATGCCATTCCTTGAGTATATAAGAAATGCTTAGCTGGATTACTTACACCAGAGAGCAATCAAGCGAAGCTTTTTGTTCCCAACAGCGAAAACTTTTGAAGAATGGGCAGTATCCAATGCACTTGTTCCATTAGCATGATAATTTGCCCTTGTGCAATTCAATTTCCCCCCTTCTTCTCCACCCACACCCTGCACCCTCCTCATATCTGCTCCAGAAGGCTTGGGGGAAACCCAGAACAGATTTAGGGGGCATGCTGCAGTGTGGAGAGGGGCAAAAGTCTGGTTGTGCAGGCATAAATCATTTTGTAATTGAACAAGTTACTTAGTGATGCATTGGATACAAGCCCATGGGTGTAGCAGCTCCCTTTTTGTTTGTCCCCATTATCTGTTAATCAGAGATATTCTGCTTCTGAATACTGCTTCTGAGGAGTGTGTGGGGAAATAGGGGTGGTACCTCTGGTGGGGGACACGTGTTCCTTCTGAGGTAGTTGGTCCACCTTTGGTCCCCAGTGTGCACTCAGCTCTCAGCTGTGGCTCCTGGATGTTGTCAGTGTGCCACAGCAGCCACACCCCAGGAAACTGCTTCAACAGGCTGTCTAAACCAGGTAAGGGTAGCAGATGGGTCTCAAACTCTCGGTGATTTTGGGAATTTCCCTGCACGTGAAGACAGGCTCTGGCAGATTGAGCGGACAAGACCAATAGTGGGTTCAACGGTCACGCAGGCACATGCCATAGAGAGAAGTGAGGGGCAGATGTGGATCGTCAGCCTGGGAAGGTAACCTTTCTAGGAGCAGGTAAACTCTGATCTTAAACCTCTGCTGCCTTATAGGACATCTCCGGGAGAAGAAGAGGTTATGAAGTAAAGCCTAAGCAAATATAGAGTGGAGTCCCTAAGACAGTTGGATGGCACCTTGTATGCCTCCTTTGGGCAACTCCTGCAGCCAAACTGGTACCAGGTTTCCTTTCCTTTGGACCACATCAGTGAGGCCGAGGGGAGGGGTCTTGTTATCTGGGCAGGCTAGGACCTTCATACACACTGTCCAGGCTTGTGCCCCAAGGAGGTCACTTCAGTGCTGTTAGCGCAGTGGTTTGACTTCACCCCCAGAGGTGCATTGTCTATTGAGATAGATGGATGCTAACTGCTTCTGAACATGGAAGCTCCATTCTGCTGGCACACCTTAATAGATGTGGCATGCATCAGAATGGGTGCAGTGTGTCCTCCCTCCTAAAATAAAAGCTGCTGTTCAGAGATCTGGCCATCTATTCCCTCTGAGCTGCACATTCCACACTCTGCCCAATTCTGTGTTTCCCCCCCTGTTTTTTTCCCTTTTCTTTTCCAACTGTCATTTTACATTCTAAAGCCACCAATATGGCTGTGCACTGGATTCACTCCCAATCCCAAACTGAATCAGGCCAATTTGAGAGGGTCCAGGCTTGGCAGAAGCCAAGTGTAGCAGCCCTGGGTTGCTGTGGGTTGGGTCAGGCTTCCCAGAGCAATCTGGAGCAGGCAGCAGGTGGGATGGAGAAGCAAGCAGTTACAGCATGTTCCACCACAGGGAGTGCAAAGGGAAGGAGAACCCTTCACTCATCAGCTGTTGAGCAGAAGATTCAATCCTGTGGAGTGCCTTGCTTCACAAGTAGCCCTAGGTACCGAGAACACTTAGTCCACACCAGCATGGGTATATGTTTGGTGGGGGGGTTTCTTCCAAATATTTTTTGAACTTCTACAAACCTCAGAGTTCATTCAACTATATAGTGGTACCTCTGGATACGAACAGGATCCATACCGGAGCCCCATTTGCATCCTGAAGTAAACATAAGACTCGTTTGCGCATGTGCGGGTCGCGTTTTGCCGCTTCCGCGCATGCGCGCGAGGTCATTTTGAGCATATGCACGAGCAGCGAAACCCGGAAGTAACGTGCTCCATTACTTCTGGGTCGCCACGGAGCGCAACCCGAAAATATTCATCCCGAAGCTACTGCAACCTGAGGTATGACTGTACTAGTACAGTGGTGCCTCGCAAGACGAAAAGAATCCGTTCCGCAATTCTCTTCGTCTAGCGGTTTTTTCGTCTTGCGAAGCAACCCTATTAGCAGCTAAGCGGATTAGCGCTATTAGCGGCTTAGCGGCTATTAAAGGATTAGCGCTAAGCTGCTAAAAGGCTATTAGCGGCTTAGAAAAGGGGGGGGAGCGAAAAAAAATCGCAAGACTAGCAAGACGTTTCGTCTTGCGAAGCAAGCCCATAGGGAAAATCGTCTTGTGAAACAACTCAGAAACGGAAAACCCTTTCGTCTAGCGGGTTTTCCGTCTTGCGAGGCATTCGTCTTGTGGGGCACCACTGTATTCCCCACCACCACTTGTTTCTCAATGGCCCCATGTTGGTTAAAATCCTGATGACACCTACAACCTGAGTTTGCTGTAAGAAGGAATGTGTTTCTTTTTCTGGTTAATTGTGAGCTGCATGGTGATTTCCCTCTTGCTCCCCGTCTCCCCCAATCTACTGCCAACAGTAGGTTAGTCTGAGTTCAAGCATCAGGAATCAGAAAAAAATATATTTCTGCCTGTTCCTATCATTGCACCATTCACGATTCTTCAAATTTCTGTTTCTTCCTAGTAATCCATGTTTCCCACCCACCCCCAAACAAAGTGCCCTAACCCAGAGTTTCCCAAACTTGGGTCTCTAGCTGTTGTTGGACTACAAATCCCATCATCCCTAGGTAGCAGGACCAGTAGTTGGGGATGATGAGGGTTGTAGTCCAACAACAGCTGGAGACCCAAGTTTGGGAAACCCTGCCTTAACCTAAGATTTATTTTCATGGGTGCAAATAATCTCCTGATTGTCCTGGTCTCCCTTTTCCATATCCTCTCCAGATCTGCACAATCCCTTTTGAGAGGAAATGCCCCAAGCTGTATCTAGTAGATGTACCTAATGGGAATTGTATTCATTGTGGAGGGGAAAGGTTTGCTATGTAGAAGGGAAGCAGTCCTGTAGCCAAGTCTGGGCAGCATCTTGTGGTATGGCTCCAGTTTCTCCACCTCATCTCTCCTATACCATATACTCGGAGGCTCACATATCCTCGACTGCATTCGGTTCTTCCCTCAAATCACAGGGTGAGGTCCAATGCAGGGGGAGCAGACACCTGTTCATGTGGCAGAGTTCCCGACCTGCACCCCACATGCCACTAAAATCTTTCCTGGAGAGTAGGGAGACTCTTTTTTGCTGTGACTAGGGACATAACCAGGGACCAGGAGTCCCCTTCATCAGGTGATGGAAGCAAGGACTCCAAACCTGAAAGGGAAAGGCACTGCAGGGGCAGTCAACAAGAAACTGCTCCCCAATGACCCTGTGGGACCGGTGACCCCCCCAGCCTGAGGATGTTGCACTGATTCCACAGTCCCTGGAAGACCTGTCCCTTCCCCACCCTGTTACAGTAGGAGACTACTAGGGAAGGCTGGGCCCCTTTAAGTAGAGCAGCCTCTTGCAGCACAGGTGTTCTCAGTGATTAGGCTGCTGCTGATCCTTCTGCTGCAAAAGGGCACTAATTCAGCTTGTTTCTTTCCGGGGTAACTTCAGTTTGCTGCATTCCCAGCTTGCCAGGCCACAGAGCAGGTCAAGAGGATGAGTAGAGCAAATGTAAGTCCTACTTGTGCAATCAAATTTCCATTGTTCAAGCGGTTGCCACCCATGGGATCCATCTCCAGTGCAGCATGGCCAGCACCAAGGGGTGGCCAGGGCATAGTTCTGCAGTTAGGACCCACTTGGCATGGAAGGAGAGAGGAGCACTTAACTTCCAATGTCTCCTCTCTCCTGCCCTGGCTGAGGAACTTCTCACTTACTATGCAATATTGCCTGGATAAAAATAGGGGGGAAATTGTATATCTGCAGTCCTATGTATGCATGTGGTAGCAAACTCCATAGTTTAACAATGACTGTGGGGTGGCCTGCTTCTTTTTGTCTCTGCAGAACCTCCTGCCATTCTGCTTTGTTGAATGGCTCTGGGTCCTGGTTTTATGAGAGAGGAGAATATTGTCTCTCTCTCTCTCTCTCTCTCTCTCTCTCTCTCTCTCTCTCTCTCTCCATTTTCCCTCACAGTAGATTCAGCTGGTTGTACTTCTAATAGAAGAGCTGCAATTCAAACCCACATTCAGCCACATTTTACTCTCTGGTGAGGTGGCAAAGGAGTTTGAAGGGAAAGGGTGCTGCCATTTTGTGTCCACATATATGCTTTTGCCTGGAGATGGTGCACTTGAGCTATGGGAGATATTCTCCCCTTGCTCCTCAGGTTTAAGTTCTAGAGATCTGGACAAGGGATCTGGAACTGAAAGGAACTCCACTGTGTGTGTTTGTGCACTAGTGGGATGTTTTAAAAGCATCAACGGTGTCTCTTTATGCAGCAAAATAGAGTTTGTGTTTTACCAAGGGCAGAAACCCCGAAGTAGTGCTTGCCTCAGTTGAGTGACAGGAAGAATGAGGCGGAGTGGTGGGACTAAGAGTGGTCTCCAGCACCCTCGTTCCATTACTGCAAGGATTTATGATAGTGCAACAGAACCTTTCCCCCCCTTCTCCGTCCCATGTGCAACCTGCACCCTCCACAAATCTGCTGCAGAGCGTGAGGGGGGGGGGACCCTCAGAACAAATGGAGGGGCGGTTGTAAGAGGAGAGGGGAGGAGTTTCATTGTGTAAAGGTTAATTGTTGCGTTAAGAGAGCAAGAGATTTAGCATTGCTTTGGATACAAGCCCCGAAGCCGACAAAAAGCTGGATCCATCAGTTTAAAACAGTGCAG